TGATTGGACTGCACCTAGTGAAGCGACCCCAAACCATGCAAAGATGCAACAGGCTCCTGGCAAGGTTATGGCATGGCGCAATGTATAATATTCATCGACAAAAGGAATGAATTATTAACAGCATTATCACAGAGAGCTATCAGAGCGTTCGAAGTGGGAAATTGCGGATAAACGACCACTTCTGAAGAAAAAGAAAGTTCTGTTCCATCAAGACAATGCAGCTTGTCACAAATCGATAAAAACGATGGCAAAATACGATGAATTGGAATGCGAATTGCTTCCCATAGCCTTTTTTGTGCCTTAAGACCTCAAGAATGCTCGTTAGAAAAAATTCAGCGCCAATGAGAGGAATTCGTCGAAATTGAGGTCTAATTTGGGGCTAAAGACAAATCGTACAGCTTGTCAATTATAGGAAGCGACTCCCTAAGATGCGCGTTCGTTAGAAGACTGTGTGTGAGAGAGAGGGAAATAGAAATCTCGAGTCTCTTCCTTGTTTTGAAAAGCTGTCTACTGAATAATAAATTCCAACAAAATGTGGCGCCAATGAAATATGTAGCAGAGTTATTTCTCCGTAAGGATACCAATATCAATGTAATCCATAATGCTTGATTTCTAATACACAATCATTGAAAAATACTCGACGGAAGAGCAGATCACGCGAAGTCCACAAAAAATCCCTACAAGGAACTCCATTGAAACCATTTCACTTCCTTTTCGTTTTTATAAAATATTCAGTACCATCAACCAAGTATCACTTTCGCTGAGATAGGTCTGTTGTGAAAAGTGTATTTCCTTCTATTTTTGTTGCCGAGGGGAAAGTGATCCTGATCTTATTTCAATGTGTTTCAAATATTCCGTACGGGAAAGTGACAGGTGGCACGAAATTCAGATGAAATTTGTATGTTTAGGCGAGTTACGTGGTCATAGTTCCCACGACACGGCCATTCACACGGAGATTCAGCTGAGTAAGAGATATTCCAGGAATCCCTTATCTCGACATGCAGTTAGCATCCAGTTAACATTATATTAATAATCATTCTGTTTGTAGCTCTCGTAAGAGACAGTCGTCTCTAGTTTGTAAAATAAATTCTTTTTAAAAAGTTATTTTCTCGTTCCAATCATTTAATTGGCGCAGTCCGTGTTCTACCCTCAAGATATTCCCTTCATCTCAGTAAATGAGTCCATGAAATATTTCAGGATATTTAATCGTTAGTGTGATAAGGACATTGTGAACCAGTGGAATCATATTCAATCAAGTGAGATACAAATTGGATTAGGTTTTGGATTGTGACATATGATATATTATTATTTTATCGAGGGTAATTTATAACTCATCTCTTCTTGAGGTGCCGGTACCGTTATTGGTTTTTGCTCTCTTTATGTAACTGTTAATTATGAAGTGGTATATATTGATGGAGTTTGAGAAGCGTTGCGCTAAACTTCGTCAATGAGTAACAAAAACATCGGTACCATTTTTTCATTAATTTCATACTTCTTCATATTCTTGAATGCAGCTGATTCATTATTATCATTATGCTGATTTGATGGCTTTAAATGAGGCAATTACAATTTGAGAATCAACACTGGATCATTATATGGCGGGGTCATCACTGAAGGTTAACCATGATTGAAGATAATATTCTAACAGATATTGTTTCAGTTTTATGTGACCTCATGGAATATTTTGTTTGTTTCTCATGAACCCTCTCCTCGAAAAACTGGAATTTTTTGGTATAAGAAGTCCTGCACTGTTTTCATATTTTCATCCGTTTATATTTGACCGGTAAGAAACAAATTGTTTTTTCAAAGAGCAGCAAATCCGAAAAACGGGATCATCCACATGGTTTCCCACCAAATACCATGTTTTCTCATTCACATTATTTGCTTCTTTTTTTGTCAACTTCTTGATATAACCTTTCTTCTCCATGTCTTGAATTTTTTCGCAATATATTTCACCGTACTTCTCATCTCTATCCATTTTTCGTTCAATATAGTTCAGTCTTTTTAGCGCATTTGTTCTGCTTTCAGGAAGAACAATGATATCTTTTTTCCATAGAAGTCCTGTTTCAAATCTCTCTCCACTTCGTTTCATTGTTGTGTCTAAAATATGTTGTGCTCTCTTATCTTGAATCGACAAAACTTCATCAGACATACTTTGAACAGTTTCCAATTTCCAATTTTCTTTAACCATTTCGTGTAGAATATCCAAATCATCCTTATCATTTCGGAGACCGTGGGTACTGATATGACAGACGATATGTTCATTCCTACTGGAGACATCAAAATTTCCATGAATTACCCATCCCAAAAATGTTTTGCTCAGGGCGGGTCCATTCCATGGTCCAGAAATGAGTTTTCTGTTAACTAGAAGTGGCCAATTATCTTGTCCGATGAGTATCCTGGGTTGAGCATCTTTCAACGGTGAAATCTTGTCTTGGATGTATGGATACTTCATCCTGATTTTATCGAAATCTACTGTCTGCGAGGGAAGAGAAAGTTTCGTTGTTCGTACATGGCGCATCTGAAAATTGGGACCATTGTCTTTGGAACTAATAGTAAATGAAACAACTTTAGAATCATTTTGTTGATGAAGCAAATCGTCATTAGTCCATTGTAGAGAAAGACTTTGTATGGGACAGTCAAGACCAAGATAATTAGCAAATTCTTCATCTATTAAAGAAATTGTTGATGCGTCATCCAAAAGTGCATTAGTTTAGGCTGTTTTGTTTCGACAAGTGACAACTTCCGGTAAAATTTTCAGTAGAACGGATTCATTATTGAAAACGTGAGAATTTGTTCCAACAATGGCAGTCATCAACATTATTGGCTTCATTAATAGTCTGACGAACGTCTTTATGTAATAACTTATGATGAAACTTTGGACATTGTTGGACTCCGCATACCTTTCGTTTTCTGCATTGCTTCAGATTATGATAAAAACTCAACAAGAAAAGCATATCTTATTATCCGTTATTATTGACCACCTACCACCTACTGGCATTGACTTGAATTCAGAACACTCTGTAAGATGATGCAAATTTTTCTTACAGCAAATACAACATCATTATTATATGATCTGGCCGACCAAAACGATTTTTCAGTAAATCAATAACTTTGTCAACATTTTGTGGCATTATTAAAAGGGATTGAACAATTTTTTTGGCATTTCCTTTTAGGCACTTCTGTAGTCTAGATTGATTTTTCTCGTTTGAAAATCCACAAATAACGTTAGAATTATTATAATGATAAATAAAATTGGGTCATTCACTTGGATTTCCGTCAAAAGTGGGAAGTTCTCGTGGCAGAGATTGCCTTGTTAATATTTTTGTCATCTGAGGAAGTCATTTGATACATATTGTTATGAAAGAAAGGGGTAGAATACTTTTCCGGACTATTTTTGGAATGAGAATCTCTTACCAATTCATCTTCTTTTACCATAAATATCGAATGCTTATCCTCACCGTCATGCCCGTTCGTCCATGGAGTTGTACCGTCGATCCAATCTTCCACGTTAGGCTTTTGGGACTGATACATTGACATTGACTCACTTTCATCACTATTCTCTTCAATTTCTGCTACTTTCAGGGCTAGTTCTATAAGCTCTTTTTCTAATGTTTTCTTCTCCATTGCAGATTTGCTTGCATTCATGCTATCCATGGTGTTGTTTCTTTGCATATCTCGAAGGACCATATGTTTGAATTACCTGCAAATTATTATTTATCCGGCTCGAAGGACCATATGTTTTTGAATTACCTGCAAATTATTATTTATTCCGGGTCGAAGAACGAAATTTTATATTCTTTTAGAAAAGTCAGACGTTTTTCAAAAACTTTACTTTACTTTTTTTTTTTAACAAAACTGATGTTTTCACATCAACGATATACAGGGTGTAATCAGATAACAATGATAAATCTATAACACCAGACATCACCAGAATCTAAGTCTCAATCCCAACCTCGATCATTTGAGAATCAGAATGAAAAAATATTTCTAATCTAGATGTTTTTACAGAGTAGAAGAGTCTCCACGAAATGTTGTTGTATATAATTATAACATACATATAATAAGTTAATGTTACTTGGTAATCTTGGTATTGAATATATAACTCATGATGCAGATTAACAATATTGCTAGCCTCTTGGTGGAATGATTTGTTTGTGTTTTATTCATTACTGTTTAACTATTTTGTTTTTAAATTCATGTGTGTGTTCACCCAGAAGTATATGTATATGTAGATGTTCACCCTAGTGTTAGAATTCTGTTCAAAAAATCTGTTTTGAATCTGTTTTTCCGTTAATCAGCTGTCGCCCCCATACGAACGACAACTCTCAGAAATTGAGAAACTTGTGCGAGCTAAGGAGTGACGAGGTCTTACCTTTCAACGTGTGATTCCTAACACGGACTGTTTATTTATATAACCTGCTACAAACAGTATGTATTGTAGTTGAATAAATCTATCTATATAATTGTATTTTTTTGTATGACTATTTTTGTAAGTGTCGTTGTATACGAAGAATGACTGGGAAAATATCACACATGGACAAGCATTTAACTTTGAGTCTCCTAATGATACCACATATTTCCGAGACCACACTTATAATTCATATCGCCTGAAATACGAAGAAGAAGCCAGTCTCCGACGACATATTTTTTCATCAAAATAACCTCGATCCGACATTTCTCAATTTGTGTAACAAACTGTTTCCCTCCTGTTCAATTCTGATAGACCCTCTAGGCACAAAGACGAAAAATAACGAAGGACATTCGCAAAGCTGACACTTTTCCAGAGAAACGCGGTAGCTAACCTTTTGATATCGTTCTTTATACACCAGAAGCCTTTGATAATTGCTTTCCTGCGCTGAATAAAGCTTTAGAAGGGTATTGAACAAGATCGATGGCTGGGTTTTGAATTCTACGGTCTTGTTCGAAATCTTATGGATCCAATATAAAAATTACTGTCTCGTATACAGAAGGAATTCGTTTGAGAAATACCATTGATCATGATATTCACAGTGGGGTGAGTTCCGATACGATATACTCGTAATGCAATGTTTGCCAGTATTCGTGGCAGTGAAGTGTGTCGTAATTCATGCGATTGAGTAATGAACATCCGTGAGTATAATTCTGTATGATTTCGAAGGCTCACATCAGGAATATTCCGACGTGGGGTTCATCCGCGAAAGATACCCCGAATGAGAGTATTATTATTATTACACGCTTCATATCAGCTTCACCAGAATGTATGTATTTTTGTTGGTTTATCAGTTTGTAACTCCAGAATTATCGATATTATTGCTTGATCTATTCGCGAGCAGATGGCGCTGTACGTAATCTCCATGATATAATTTGAACTTCCTTTACATACATTTCTTCATATGAAAAAAGTATGTTTTTTTATTAACACGCGCACCTGCTGCCTTATTTGTAACCCTCCTTAGCGCGCCTGCTGCCTTGGGTATGGTAGCTGATTTTCAGACTTCCTCTCCGGATCAGAAAATATCAACGATCATTTTTTTAAACAATATACGGCTGATTTGATCTCAAAGTTCAAATAAAATGAATATAGTTTAAAAAGTCTACAAAAAAAAGCTTTTATACCATACGAAACTGAGAAATGAAGAAATAAATATAGTTAAAAAAACTGAAAAACACGCTTTTGAAGAACATGGAACTAAACAGTTGGAAATACTTTTTTTATAAATAAGCTTAAAACATTAACGAACGGAAAATACCAGTATATTTGAAAAAACAGCGTGGGTTCTTTGTGCCATATTTTTTGTTTATCAAGTACCCGTCGCTTTTTCCACAATAATACTATTATTTTTCATTCGTTGTTGTTTTTAGTATTTTTTTCTAATTATTTTTAGATTTTTAGTTCGATGTTCTTTAAAAGCGTGTGTTTTAGTTTTTTAAACTATATTTATTTTTAATTTTTTAGTTTCGTATGCTATAAAAGCGTGTTTTTAGCCTTTTAAAACTATATTTATTTTGTCTAAACTTTGAGATCAATCAGCCTTATATTGTTTAGAAAAATGACCATTGATATTTTCCGATTCCGGAGAGGGAGCCTGAAAATCAGCTACCAAGCCCAAGGCAGCAGGCGCACAAAGGAGGGTTAACAGGCGCGCGTGTTAATAAAAAAAATACTTTTTTCAAATGAAAAAATACATGTAAAGTGAGTTCTAATTATATCAAGGAGGTTACGCACAGCGCCATCTGCCTGCGAGTAGATCAAGCAATAATTTCGGTAATTCTGTCAAATACAGATCCCGAGCTTGAGAGTTACAAACATACATATAGGCTTATATAAAGCGTGTAATAATAAAAATAGATAATGATTATTTAAAAATTACTTAACGCAAATGTAATAAGGTTTAAGGGCTGATAACAAAAGTTATTAATGCACTCCTGATTTTATTCAATAATATCATTATAGCAGAAATTTGAATGATTAACTACTATCGATTTTTTTTTTTCAGATGTGGTCAGGAAACCCGTGTGATTCCCCGTCTTCTTCAGATGCGATTCCACTGGCTCAAATCCGAGAAAGAATCCATGCGATTGAATCAGGCTGGTATTACAAAGTCAGTTCTCGATTCTGCCATAGCAGCATTCACGTTGGAAATCATAGCGAAGCATGGCGAGCCAGCTCCCAGACTCTGCAACAAAGACCCATTGACAATAAAAATGGGCACCTACGTCATCGATCTCTTCCCCAACGCCAAGTTCATTTTCATGGTTCGCGACGGTCGTGCCACAGCCCATTCCATCATATCTCGAAAAGTTACAATCACCGGTTTTGATTTGACCGATTACAGGCAGTGCCTGAAGAAATGGAACAGTGCTGTGGAAGCGATGAACAGCCAATGCAGGGAACTGGGGCCTGATAGATGTTTGCGGGTACCCTNGGAAGTCATAATGTTGATCACTGGTTAAATTCGTCCCCGTCATCAGAAATTAGTCAATTTGGTTGGATTTCTATTTCATCAACACATTTCAGTACCATGAAATTAAATCAACCAAAGAATTCTCAAATGAAACCACTTGATCTGATACGAAAATGATATTATCTCACGTAGTAAACAATCCCACTATTATCAAGTAAATAAATTAGCACGCACAATCTGAACTAGAAAATAACAATGTACAGAGTGAAAGAAAACAATAACTGAAAACATAGAAATTGGGTTCCCACAATAGCAGTTATTTACCTATTGGAATAATGGAGACATTCGCATTTTTGTACGAGTAAAAACGACTTCACAAACAGCATTGAAATATCATCATCAATTACGAAAGCAGAAGATGAGTAGCCTGTATTGAAATGAAAATATAAATACATTAATATTATGAATACATGTACCACTAATTATCGTGGATAATTCAACTGAATAGTACCACTTGGGTTCCAAATTTTAGTATCAAATCAACTTTACAAAATTGATAAATTGTTTCCTACCCTTGTTAACTGATATATCAAAGAATATAGCATATTCATCCATTAGGCCTGTAGATAAATAGAATTGCTACTCTATATTATATAAACACCTATCGGACTAGTCACAAAAAGCTGCAATCAAACAGAGATTTAAAAATACAACCGTAATACTATAAATTTTGTGAAAGCAATGTAGATAAAACTATTGTTGCTGAGACTTCGAGATATAATTTTCGTCCTCGCAGTCAACGCATATACCACTGATGATGTCTGGCCGTAGTAGCAGACGAAACATTTCGTACAGTCACAGTTTTGTTATCTCTAATCGAGACTCCGGTCATGGAAGTCTATGTTCTTATATCGATAAAACTTATTTATGAAAATATTTACAAAAAATGAAAATTGTTCATTTTACGTTTTGGACATCACAAATTAAAATTTGAAATTAAGAAATTTGCTTGACTATCAAAACTATGTTTTACTAAAAAAGATTTTAGAATGTTTCTGAAATTCATATTATTATTTAGATTAGATCCTAATACGAGTATTTTGTATCCGCATATTTTGGGGAGAGTTGTGCTATCTCCAGTCATGAGATTAGTTGATAAACTTTAGTTTTTTGCCTAGCATCATGTGAATAAATGTTATCTTTTTTTTTCTAAAATTAAACTACAAGGTATTGTAACATGTCTATACAGAGACAAATGATGTAAACAAATATTTGTTCAATTGAATATATTTACCCAATCCATTTACCCATTTACAGCCCAATGTTTTTATGAATCTACTTTAAACTGTAATACGTCAGTGAAGAGCCTTATGAATCTGTGCACTTTTCTCAACGTACCACAAGTCGATTAATTTCGTCAGCGTTAATACTACGTTATCAGGATTCGGTGGAGTCGACGAAGGCCGTTTTTACCTGATCCTGATTGGCGGAAGTTCTAACGGTGAGAAAGTTGTCGAAATGCTTGGGAAGATTGTAGTCTGTGGGCGAAAGGTCTGGGGAGTATAGTGGCATACTCGTTTAATAAGTTTAATTTACGGACGGTGATTCGTGGAACTTGCGGACTGGCGTTATTGTGAATCAGGATCGGACTTCTTCTGCTGACCACTGTCGGCTGCTTCTGACTCAATTTTCGGTACATTTTATCAATTTTCTCACAATATGACTATTGTGATGGTTTGGCTCGATTGCAGATAGTTAAAGTGAATGACACCAGCCGCTGACCACCATACAGTAACTATGGTCTTTTTTTTGGGATTTCGCCTTTGGGAAGTGCCTGGGTGGCTCATATATGTCCAATCACTGTCCTGAACGTCTCCTGTTGTCGTAGAGACGTAGAGGATCCACTTCTCGTCACACGTGACGATCCGATCCGAAGAAAGATTGTTTTGGTTGCGCAAAAGCAAAGGAGAACAGACTTCGAAACTTGACAATTTCTATCGATCATTCAAATCGTAGAGCACCAGTCCCTCCGCCATCCCACGTGATGGGTCAGCTTGTTCCTCAAATCTTCGTCCTGGATTACTGTAGGTCGACCCCTTTGAGGCTCATCTCTGGAAAGAAATTTCGCAAACCAACGTCGAACATTGCGACCATTAACACTGGAAGTGAAGAGAGGAAAGGAACCATTTTGTATGTGGTCTTTGAAAGAAACACGAAAGTGGTTAAGTAATTGGCTTTATTACCCTAGAGTGAGGATCAGCATTTTCGAAAGTTAACTATTGATTACAGTACCTTCTATTGTCTTATTATTAAATGTTTTTTAAATGTTTGAAAGTAAACTACTGAGTATTAATGTGGCCAAAACATTTTACATTACCTTTACATCTTATGCTAGCCATTTACCAAGTTTCAAATCACTACATATAAAATGTAATAATGTGAATCTCACTATTTCTTCAGTAAATAAAATAATGTATATTGGTATATATATATAGATGCCCATTTGAAATGGGATGCACATATTGACTATTTGGTGAAAAAATTACGTAGTGTTACATATAGATTGAAATACATGACACCCTACCTAGATATAACTCAAATGATCATGCTATACTATACTTTGTTTGAAACTCATCTCTTCTATGGGATAGTTGCCTGGGGAGCAGCAAGTAATTCTCATATAAAGAACCTATAACAAATTCAAAAATTAACTTTGAAGATAACCACAAATAAAAAAATAACTTACCGCACAGAAGCGTTATATAAGGAAACATTGACTTTAGACATAAGGCAACTTTACTTCTTCAAAACTGTTATAAGGCAATAGATGTCCATTTCAAATAGGATACACATATTGACAATTTCGTGAAAAAATTACGAATTGTAGCATATAGATTGAAATGCATGACACCCTACCTAGATATAGCTCAAATGCTCATGCTATACTACACCTTGTTTGAAACTCACCTCTCCTATGGGATAGTTGCCTGGGGAGCAGTAAGTAATTATCATATAAAAATCCTAGAACAAATTCAAAAATTAACTCTGAAAATAATCACAAATAAAAAAAAACTTTCCTCGCAGAAGCGGTATATAAGGAAACATTAACTTTAGATATAAGGCAACTTTACTTCTTCAAAACTGTTAGAAGGGAACACAAAAATAAACATGAACTTAGAAAAAATGAACACCATTATGCAACTCGCCACAAAATGAATTCAACCTATGTACCAAAATCAGCGAAAAATACTTTACAAAAGTGTTATACTTACTTATCTCCTCGACTGTATAATCTTATTCCAGCACATATCAAAACTATCGTTGGCATTGATATGTTCAAAAATAGGCTTAAAGCTTGGATCTCAGGTTTGCCTAGAGCATAGATACACTAATGTGTTGATATGAAAAATGCATTAAACTACAATGTATAAATGTCTGTAGAAGATGTATGTGATTAGAGTTGTGTAATCTGTAGGTCAACTTCTCCATGATTTGTTTATTTGTTTCATTGAAAAAAAGGGTATTTGGTTGATTGATATTGTTGTGGAATTGGCCACGGTGGTAGTGCGCCCGACTCACGATCGGAAGACCGTGGGTTCGATTCCTGCCTCGACCCGATATTTTTCTCGAGAGAATTCATCTGGTTGAAGCTGGGAGGATTCTGTGCTTTTTTTGTTCATGCTGAAAAAAACTTTATTTCTATATTTCATTCATTATAATCTATTGTATGTTAAAATGATATAGCCCACGCACAGGTTTATCCTTCTGTGGGAACTATATTTATTTGTCGATAACTAAGATTATTGTGTATTTCAAATTGAATGACAAAAATAAAAAATATAAGAATATATACTCGCCTGATCCATCCCATTATTTCATGATTTGAGTGCGATGAACTTCTGAGAACTTTTTTTTTGATAATTGAAAATCATGTGGCGCCCATTATGAAAGTTTGATTTTTCCAGTGGTTAGAGGTTAACGGCAATTGTCGGAATAATTAATAATCGATCTACCAGTTAACGATTTTTTTTTAATTATGTTCATCGTTTATGATTCGAAAAAAAATATTTAAGGAGAATTTTGAGCGCTACAACATATGATATTAAAACGAACAAAACTGTCAAAACAACATAATATTTGTTATGTATAAGGAATAAGTAAAACATGAAATCATTTGAAATATTTTTGGTTTTTGAAAGACATTATTCTTTTATTACTGACTAACTTGGACTCTTCGAAGGTTTATATTGCTCGATTACTTTTCGGGGTGATCTTTTCAGTTCGCCCTTCATTACACTTGAGCAAATTTTATGTTGATCTATATTTATTTAATGTGTGGAAGGTTAGGAACTCCAAAAACATTAAAGAATATTGAATTATTTTTGGAAGGACAACGCCATAAAAAGATCCCGAAAGCATGTTCGTTAATTGGTTGGCCTCTTCTGCTATTAATTATAGTCCTAATTTAAATTGAAACATAATGATAATGGGGTCAAACCCAAAACCGGTCGTATAAATAAAAACTACCAGTGGTAATTAGACAAAAGTGTTTTTATTCATTTCAATAAAGTGATCATGAACTACCATAAAATAAAAAATTCATCAATCACACATATCAGTCCTAAGTGTAACTGTATAGAATAAATTACTCATTATAGGTTGATCATACATGCACTTATTTTGATTGGATCGTTGTACAATATATTCTTATTCGTCTTGCATTGTTATTATTGTTATGACATACATTGTTCAATATTTATAAGAAAAAATCGAACGGACGGCATACCAATTGATATGAATGAATCCGTGTACGAAATCAATTATTTTACACTTTCGCGAGTATTCCACTATGGGGCTGTTTCTGTGATTAGTCAACAGTTCGATTGAAACTGGGGTTCTATCAACCAGACACACGAATAATTAATGCAATGTTTGAGCGTACCTAATCGGTGAAATGAATCGGATCGATTGGTTATTTCCTGGCTATAGGCAGCATCTTTTAACACGTGTGTATGATAACGAATGGAGTCAAACTCATTCATGCCTATACAAAAAAAAATCAACCAGGTATTTGGTAATGATAGTGAAAAATGAGAAATAAAACTTTCTATGATTTTCACCACTTTTATTTGTAACTAACGTCACTGCAGTTTCGTCCTATATAGAGATTTTCAAACTCATACAATTTATTGACAATGATAGTGTTAGTGAACGCAGTGTTCAGCGTTGGTTTGCAAAATTTCGTTCCATACATTTTAGCCTCGAAGATGAGCCCTGAAGTGGCAGTTATCCTGGACGAGGATTTGATAAACCTGGTGGAGACTGACCCATCACAAATGGTGCGTGGTATGTCGGAAGAACTGGGTGTCAGCTTCTATGTGGTTTTTGATGGTTTAAAACGTATTGGAAAGGTTAGAAAACTCGAAAAGTGGGTGTCCCACGCTTTGAAAGATCGGCACAAGTTGACACGTTTCGAGGTCTGTTTTTCTTTGCTTTTGGGCAACAAAAATATCCTTTTTTAGATGGGATTGTCACTTCTGATGAAAAGTTTCTCTACGCCAACTGGAGACGTTTAGGACAGCGGTTGGGCCACTCAGGTACCTCCCAAATTCGAAAAAACATGGTTGCTCTATGGTGGTCAGCGGCTGGTGTGATTAACAATAATTTTCTGTATTCCGACCAAATCATCACAGCAGAGTCCTATTGTGAAGAAATCGACCAATTGTACCAAAAATTGCGTCAGCAGCAGCCGACACAGCAGAAGACGTCCGTTCGTGTTTCACGACAACGCCCGTCCGCACGTTTCACAAATCATTGTCTAAAAATTAAACGAATTAGGCGCCCACAATACTCCCTAGATCTCCAACCGACTATCATATTTCCAAGCACTTCGATAACTTGCTCACCGGTAGAACCTTCGCCAATAAGGACAGGCCAAATCCCTAGCACCCAATTTGTATGCTGACGGAATTACTCGACTACGTTGGAAAAGTGCACTGATTCAGTTGGCATTTATTTCGAAAAAATTGAATTAGTATTCACTAAGATATTACAGTTCAAAACATACTCATGAAAACGAACAAAACTGTTGAAATAACCTTATACCATCCCTAAGTCTTCTTTTGTACAGTATGCGTTACATACTGATTTATCAGATTTAAATACTGAGACATTTATGCTAGACCCAAAGCTTATCAACTTTTATAAGCCTGAGGGTGGGAAATTGTCAGTTCCAAATAAATCAGCCCTTTTCATTCTCGATGATTCAATGTTCCCCAGAGCATAAGGCAACACCACTGTCTCATCAATACCTTAGGTGTGCCGGAGGTGGTAATAGACCAGTTCGAGGGCCGCGTTATATCAATGGATATAGGCTGAGGCCGCATGAGCAGGAAATGCCAACAGGAAGTACATAAGGGTCTTAGGTGCTGCGCGGTTGGCCCTGCACCTGGTATCAGGAACCTCTAGAGATCAATCACGTGACAAGGCTAGAATAAGGTGTTAACCTTTCAGTTTCCTACTTCAACCCACTAGATCAGGTGCTTTGAAAACCCAAGGCCTTCGATGTTATTAAATAACACCTCATCCATCGGCTTATCCTTGTGTGGCCGCAGGAGTGAGATAATATATACTGCTTGGATGTTGGTCTTTTGCTGAATGGGTTTCAAGTTGGTGACAAAGTTGCAATTCTGACTAATTTTAGGCAACTTGAAACAAAAAAGGTGTGAGGTTATTTTGTTACTACAATACAAATATTCTTAATAAAGTGTATACTCGGAGAAAAGTTAGTTTTTGGCGAGTAGAACAAAACGTTTAATGAGTGCTAAGCTCAAAACGAACCGGTTTTGAGATACAATAGGAAAAAGTTGTTTATTTTAACGAGATCCACCACATACTTTTGTAATGTTATCAGCAACACTGTTACACTCTGTATAGTGTCAGATCCATCACATTTCAATTACACCTCAGAATTGATTTCGAATTGTTATACATTGAAAAAAGACGACAACAAAAGATTAGAATACTGTTATTGATCTCAAGGTAATTTTTTGAATGACATGGAGTTTTTGAAACAGATTATGTCTACTGATTAAGTTTACAATTGATTGCGGAGGTACTCAAATATATAGATACATTATGTATTTAAATATAAGATTTTTTCATCAAATATCAGCCAATTCTGTCACATATATTAACAAAAAAATCAGACAAGTATCACAATTATAAATCCAATCTTTTACATTTTCAGTGCCCGCAAACCATGGATCCAACGATGAGGTGAAGAAAACTTCGTGATGCAACTGAAGCGACCTTTCCGGGGAGGTCTCAAAAAGGCCTTTGGGGTGATATGTGCCCTCTTGGTCGTGTACCTGTTGGTACACTCGGTTGGACTGATAAGTTCAGATTTTCCCACTATGGTTACTGACCAGAAGTATGTCGTTGGAGACGATAAGAAAATTTACGAATATAACAGGCAGATGCCGCTTATTTTCATCGGCGGTGTTCCGAGATCTGGAACTACTCTGATGAGGGCCATGTTGGATGCGCATCCCGATATCAGGTTAGTTTTTTCAGAGAGTAAAATACTGTAGCTTTCCCTGTGGGGTGTGCAAAGCATAGTTTGAAAACTAAAATGATACACACAGGGCCGGTCCTAAATGAAGCAAAACATTTTGGCGCCCATCCTAAATTTTTCTGAATATCACATGGTCTCATAACAGAAAACCATGAATAATGTAAAACATAACAGAAAAGAACATAGATAAACATTGCACTTTGAACTTTTTTGCCAGCTTGCCATTTCAGAGAACCAAGTTTGGCTTTGTACAAAAATACAGAGCTCATAGTAAAAAGGTTTGTCAAATTATTTCGAATAAAAATCGACGCAAAGCAAAATTTTTAAAATGCGCAGATAAGAAATTTTTTGACAAAAACAAGAAATATGGGCTGTGCAGGTTAAAGTTATTGGAAAAATGAGAAAATAGAAAAAAGTAGATGCTGAAATGTCATTTATCTCCAATCATAAAGTAGAACATATACAAGCAAGGAAGTGAGAAAATGGTATATTCCTTATTAAAAAAAATTGAATTATTGATGAAAAATTAACATCAACAATTAACATATGATATACAATACTTTCTCAATCAACGCTGGTGTTCTCTAAGGATCTAATTTGTCTCCAACCCTCTTTTTATTGTATATCAACGACTTGTTGGAAAAAACCAGGAATCCATTATATTACTTTGCTGACGACAGCACATTTGTCTCGTCATTTTATTTGGATTCCAGGACATTGGCTGCGGATGCACATCTTCACCGGCAGCAGGAGTTGCATATCTTAATGAGGATCTAGAAGTGATTTCGAATCGGGCTGAAAGTAACCAGGTTCAATTCTTGTTACAAAAACCCAGGTAACGGTTTTCTCCAAAAAGATAAATGTCCCCGAACTTCGAAAAGTTTGTTGGGGGTTAAAATGGACACCAATATGTCTTGGCACAATCATGTCGCTGGAATTCCAAAGGCTGCTTCTCAAAAGCTTGGAACACTGTTCCGAACCAGAAAACTGTACATACNATTTTTAATTTTTTAGTTTCGTATGCTATAAAAGCGTGTTTTTAGCCTTTTAAAACTATATTTATTTTGTCTAAACTTTGGGATCAATCAGCCGTAAATTGTTTAGAAAAATGACCATTGATATTTTCCGATTCCGGAGAGGGAGCCTGAAAATCAGCTACCAAGCCCAAGGCAGCAGGCGCGCAAAGGAGGGTTAACAGGCGCGCGTTTAATAAGAAAATACTTTTTTCAAATGAAAAAATACATGTAAAGAGAGTTCTAATTATATCAAGGAGGTTACGCACAGCGCCATCTGCCTGCGAATAGATCAAGCAATAATTTCGGTAATTCTGTCAAATACAGATCCCGAGCTTGAGAGTTAAAAACATACATACATACATATAGGCTTATATAAAGCGTGTAATAATAAAAATAGATAATGTTTATTTAAAAATTACTTAACGCAAATGTAATGAGGTTTAAGGGCTGATAACAAAAGATATTAATGCACTCCTGATTTTATTCAATAATATCATTATAGCAGAAATTTGAATGATTAACTACTATCGATTTTTTTTTTCAGATGTGGTCAGGAAACCCGTGTGATTCCCCGTCTTCTTCAGATGCGATTCCACTGGCTCAAATCCGAGAAAGAATCCATGCGATTGAATCAGGCTGGTATTACAAAGTCAGTTCTCGATTCTGCCATAGCAGCATTCACGTTGGAAATCATAGCGAAGCATGGCGAGCCAGCTCCCAGACTCTGCAACAAAGACCCATTGACAATAAAAATGGGCACCTACGTCATCGATCTCTTCCCCAACGCCAAGTTCATTTTCATGGTTCGCGACGGTCGTGCCACAGCCCATTCCATCATATCTCGAAAAGTTACAATCACCGGTTTTGATTTGACCGATTACAGGCAGTGCCTGAAGAAATGGAACAGTGCTGTGGAAGCGATGAACAGCCAATGCAGGGAACTGGGGCCTGATAGATGTTTGCGGGTACCCTACGAGCAACTGGTGTTGCATCCCAAGAAATGGATGGAAAAAGTTCTTGAGTTTCTGGATATCCCTTGGAGCGATTCCGTGCTTCATCATGAAGACTTCATCAATAACGGAATCGAGCTCAGCAAGTAAGTTTGAGTTTTTTCTTGTTGAAATAGAAAGTGAAATAATCTGATAAACATTTGAGCGATTCCACTTTTAAAAAATTATTATTGAATTGAACCGGATCTCAAAAACAATTTTCAAATCCACTAGATAGACGAATTTGAAAACTATACAAGACTGATTTCTAATAATTAGCGTTAAAAAAAAGGTAAGACTCGTCGATTGTTATTTTGAAGAGAAACTATTTCGAGTGAATAGACGAATTTGAAAACTATACAAGACTGATTTCTAATAATTAGCGTTAAAAAAAAGGTAAGACTCGTCGATTGTTATTTTGAAGAGAAACTATCTCGAGTGTATTTTTTCAAGTATGTCGCTTCCACTTCTTCCGTGAAATGCGATCCAACACTTGAATCACAAATGGGATTAGCGATCACGTGATAACTCGTTTATAAAACTATTGATTCCTCTTTTCAACGCCACCTATTTTGTAAAATTTGGTGAAGTAGATATAGAGAAACAATAGTTATAAATAAGGTTTGCTAATTGTGCATTGTGTAGTTAGCACTGTAATTATGATTGTATGCTTGTAAAATAAGAATAAACGTAGTTTTTACTACCTCCTATTGAAAGTAGATTTGATGAATTCATAATTTTACATTTATTAATATTCTTGACATTAATACTGATAAACATTTTGAAACATAGTGGAATTGAGTTGCCTTTCCAACAAAATTGGTTACCTGCTTTTTATCAGTACTTGAATGAATTTTTTGTGGAAGATAAATCTGTCGAAGAGAGGAGTGGCTTGCGAGATAACCCGATTTTGGTTCTTTGGATTGTTTTTTGGGTTGGAAAAAAGACTTACAGATGATTTGCGTCAACGTTTTGTTTCTGAATATCAAAACATTACACCAAAAATGATTCAGATTGGCTGATATCACTTTGAACAGAGCCCCTATTACAGAAAACTAGGTTAAAAGTAAATAAGCTTTTCATAACGTCACTTATTTTTATTTCTATTCCATTTGGAAGGTCAAAACTCTGAGCTGAACATAAAAAAGAATGACAATTTTCTCCGGCATTATAATAAATTACTTTCTTTATGTTGACTTGTTAATAACTTACAATATTGTATGTTATCCACTGCCTTAAATTAAAGTAATGAATTTTGAAAAGGGAAATCGATGACCACCTGATAATCCCATTTGAGATTTCAGGGCTAATCGCACCGCGCCGAGGGGGTGCAAGTAACAAGTTCAAAAATGTTCCTAAGAGATTTCGCCGTTTTGTGAAAAATTGGTCTTGTTTCGTTTTCATTTTCCCGTCCTGTTTTTAAATGGAAATACGATTAAAAAAATATAAGGCGGGTATCTTATTTAATAGATTCTCAGAAGTTTCAAGTAAAAATATTGCTAGAAATGAAAAAGAATACGGTAAACATATACTTGCACACATATTGTTTTTTCTATACTACAAAGTTTCACGCTTACTTTTTATCAATGTATGAAGAGTGTTGCAGTTCTAGTGTTGGGAACAGTTCTTGTTTTGGGTTTATTCTATGACAGATGTTCAGGTTATACCTTCAATTTGAAATTTCGTTAAATGTTGTATGTTGATAGAGAGTAAGATAGACAAAGGCTCTGACTGTTTGACTTTCCACAAAATTGCCTATCTGGGAAGTTTTATTTACAGATAAAATATGTACTCCATAAAAACATAGGCTTTCACAGCTGGAGTCACAATTAGTTAGAACAAAATCCGGACTGGTACGCCATGGTCGAATGTGACTTGCTGTACCAAACATTTTGTCTGCTACCGTAGCAGGCGAAATGTTTGCTACTACAAATTCCATTCGACTACGGCATACCAGCCTGGATTTTGCCAGCTCGGATTTTGTTCTATCTGCAATATGTACTTTTATCTCTTTAAGCATATACCAGTCAACTTGGAGGCTCTGTCAAAATGGGTTGGCAATATACCAGAAGACGTCATAAAAGATATGGCCCATATTGCTCCGATGTTATCAGTTCTGGGTTATGATCCTTATGCTAATCCTCCAAATTATGGACAACCAGACGCAGAAGTTGCCCATAAAACAAAGGAAATTCAAAGGAACAAAAACGTTTGGGAAAGAAAAGCCAAAGAAATGTTTGACGTCGGTTGGGATAATGCTGATGGAGATACTGCTCTAGACAAAGAACCGAGTGATAATCCCAACAACATTACGTGATAAAACTTTCATCCCACAGGGTGTCTGGGATCGATTTTTGTGTGTGGACCATTTTAATGATACTAATTTTAGATCTGATTTTGAAATGCTAAACTGGTGTGATCGTAACAGTTGATTATTTCAGTTTTTACTTAAGAGACATGACTTATTTGATACTTGTTGAAAAATTTATGAAGATCTAATAGTTGTAGTGTTTTCTATTTTAATGCAGGTTCGTTTATTCAAAATTCTGGTGAGAAACTGCAGGCCAGTATATTTTATAATTTGAAATAGTTATCAACATTACTTTGGAATTGTTGTGGTAGTTATGTGAGTCCCTCTTGAAAAAATCATCATGATTGATGGATACCTAGAAGATGACATGTATAAATTTTGAACTTATAAACTTGAGTTGTTTGTCAAGCATTTTCAATTATATTTCAGGGCATGAAGAAGTGTAGAATAGAAAACAAAACTAATTTCTGAAATACCTAAACAAAAATTAAATTGTTTTGTTCCAACCAAAGACAAGTATAGCAAATGTTTGTTCCACATAATTTTTGCTTGAAAGAAAAGACTGCTGAGTCTACGCTAAATAGTTGCTACTCCATAATATTTACATTTTTCCTTCAAGGAAAGCACACCAAATTAATTATAAATTTGTTACATTTTAAATTTGTCTTCAACAAACTAGCTGATAAAAAACGAATCCTTTTTAAAGAAAAGTTACTTCAAGAACCAAATTCGTTGTTCCTGTCTTCAAAATGAACTGTAACTCTGT